AGTCATTTATAACCAGCATATGTCCTTTAATGTCCGAGTTAATGGTGATGGTGAAAAACTACACCACACATTTGTTACTTCAAGGCTGAACTATATTGACTCCATGTTGTTGGCTTTTTAAAGCCTCCCAGAAAAGCACAAGTGGATCTAAGACACTGCAGCAAATGTACAGCAGCACTAACAGGAACTATTTTTCCCATACTGGGTTGTCCTTACTGACTACCTATTAAATCCATAATTGAATTTAAAATCCTTCTTCTCACCTACGAAGCACTCATACTATCCCAATAGAGGACTCGCGGACTGCAGGCTTGTGTTTTTTAACGCACAAGCCTCGGCTGTCAGCCTCACCTGCACACACACAAATTGGTGGAAGCAAATACATTTAGATGGTGAACTGATAGAAAAAAGTCACAATATCATACACCAAATACAACAATGTCTAAGGTCATTATTGGTGTTGAAAAACGTATTTACCTCTCATCACAGTAGTAATGTTTTTATGTGTCCCTTTATTCCTTTAGACCACTATGCATGCAAGGAGGACATTTTCGATGACAAATGGCTCTTTAACCTGGAGAATAAATCTGGTCTGAACCAGCAGGACCTAGGACTTCTACCAATAAAAGAGGAAGAGGAGGAACTCTTCACAAATCAGGAGGGAGAGCAGCTTGTACTGGAGGGAGAGCAGCTTGTACTGGAGGGAGAGCAACTTGTACTGGAGGGAGAGCAGCTTGTACTGGAGCAGCAAACCAATCCCTTCATGATCTCTTCAGTTTTTGAGGCACAGAGTTCCTGTAAAGAAGAGCCAAACAGCCAGCTCCTTTCTCACGACTCTCTATGCCAGGGAAGACCAGATGAGAAACCATATTCTTGTAACACCTGTGGGAAGAGATTTAAATACGTGTCAACATTGAAAGTACACACGAGCATTCACACAGGTGAGAAGCCTTTCTCTTGCGACGCATGTGGGAAAAAATTCAGGAGAAAGGATAACTTGTTGGTCCATATAAGAACTCACACCGGTGAAAAGCCTTTTGCCTGTAACATCTGTGGGAAAGCGTTTAGTGACAGATCAAATCTGATATGTCACGTTAGATATCACACAGGTGAGAAGCGATACTCGTGTGAAACATGTGGGAAGCGATTTTATCATAAAGGCAATTTAACGGTGCACATGGCGACGCATACAGGTATAAAACCTTACCACTGCACCACTTGTGGAAAAAGATTTATCCGCTTGGAAAAGTTGAAGAGCCACATAAGCATTCACACGGGTGAAAAGCCATATTCTTGTGAAGCATGTGGGAAAAATTTCAGAAGACGTGACAAAGTACTGAACCACATGAGAACCCACACAGGTGAAAAGCCCTATCCCTGCAAGATCTGTGGGAAACCGTTTAGGGACGCTTCAAATTTGATACGTCATGTTAGGTTTCACACAGGTGAGAAGCCATATTCTTGCGCCACGTGTGGAAAAAGATTTACACAAAGCGGTAATTTGACTGCCCACATGAAAACTCACACACGTATAAAGCCTTATCAATGCAACGCATGTGGGAAAAAATTTACCTGCTCAGCAAAGTTGCAAAGGCACACAAGAACTCACACAGGTGAGAAGCCGTATTCTTGTAAAACATGTGGGAAAGGTTTTGGCCAAATGAGGGATTTAACTGTCCACATAAGGACTCACACAGGTGATAAGCCCTACTCCTGTGTAACCTGTGGTAAAAGCTTCAGCCAGAACAGTCATTTGAATGTCCACATGAGAACTCACACAGGTGAGAGGCCATATTCTTGCAAAACTTGTGGTAAGACTTTCAGTCAAAATAGTCATTTGACTGTCCACATGGGGTCTCACACAAGTGAGAGTTCTTGCAAAACATTTGGAGAAGTTTTTGCTCAAAGTGGTGGGAGTGTTCACGTGAAAAATCACACAGCTGAGAGGCAGCACCTTTGCAAATCTCCTGGCAAAGGTTTCAGTTCTGTGACGGATCACACAAGAGTCCACATGGGTGAGGGGGTGAAATTTAGCGAAACTACAACAAGATGTGGTCAAAGTAGTGACTGACAGTGTACACAAGAAGTTGCACAAGTGAGAGGAAGTATGTTTGTAAAACCTGCAAGAAGAGGTTCATTCCATGAGGTTTAATGCCACCATTGTCAAAGCATATGAAACTGCAAAATGTGGAAGATGTCAAAGTAATTGTCACTGAAACATTGATACAAATCACATGGCAAAGAGCAATTGTATTCAAATAATTATGTCACATGTTATTAAGAAATGGTCGGGGAGAGATGCATCGTCAGAAACAGGAAATGTGTCAAGAAGCCAATGGAAGGGAAGCGGGGAGAAAATCCTCCACGCTTATGGAGCGATAGGTCCAAATGTGACAAATTCAGCTTGCTAGAGTGTTTGAAGAAGGTCAAGAAGAGACAACGGGGAGTGTTTTACAGCCATCGTTAAACACAGTGGGACTCTGTTTTGGTTTGGGGCTGCTTTTCAGCCACTGATGTTGGCCGTCTTGTCAAAACTGATGAATTTATGAACCTATTAAAGAAGTGTCTGTGCATCTGTAAAGCTGTAAAGTGTCAGCATGACACTGGGCCTCATTTACTAATGTTTACGTAGAATTACTCTGTGTTCACAAGCAAAATTATTGTTGGATTTATAAAACATACAACCGGCCTATTTAGTTCTTACTGCTTATGTTAATAAATCTGAAGTGTTCGGAA